CCTGTGGTCGATAGGAGACACCAACCCATTCTGTAGCTGTAAAGAACAAAGATTCAAAGCCATCAATGTGACTGATTTCCCTTATCTAAGCAATGTGTTTCCCCTGAAGAAGATCCCTCCAGAAGCTGAGAATAGACTGGCAGTCAGAGTGCTGACATCAGACATATACTAGTCAGCAGTTTCATGAGCTGCATCACCTCCCCTTATCCCCATGCTACCCTGTCAGCCTTGCAATAGCCCAGCTATTGCAAGGGGACATGTTAAAACGTAAGTCACATGTTTGGGAGGGAGTTTTTCAAGATGTGCAAGGTGAGATTTGTTTTCCTTGCAGACCTTTTCCACTGCATCGTGGGAGGCCACATCTATCTACTCCAGGGAAGGGCATCCTACTCACCTAGGGCCAGCAAGGTCATCATGATCCCTGATACTGAAGCCCCCACGACACATCTGAAGGCCAAGTATACGTAGAAATGAGGCACAAGGGCAATTGCTACACCAAACAAACCCTCGAGGAGGATGGAGATCAAGAGGACTGGCCGACGGCCAAACCTGTGGAGGAAGAAGATGACAGCTGATATCTTCTCCTGGAAAAGAGAAGGCTCTGGGGAGACCTGACAGCAGCCCTTCGATATCTAAAGGAGGGCTGTAAGGAAGAAGGGGACAGACTCTTTAGCAGAGTGTGTTGTGATAGGATAAGGGGAAACAGTAATAACAAAAAGATGTTTTACAATGAGGGCAGGGAAGCACTGGCACAGGTTGCCCAGAGAGGCCGTGGATGCCCCGTCCCTGCAGACATTCGGGGTCAGGCTGGATGTGGCTCTGAGCACCTCTTCTAGTTGTATGTCCCTGTTCATTGCAGGGAAGTTGAACTAGATGGCTTTTAAAGGTCCCTCCAGCTAGGATAGCTCTATGAATCCAGAGAGACACCATAGGGAAGAGCCCAAAGGGATACACAGCAATCTGGGAACCATTCACACATGTCCTCTCTTGAGGGCAGTGAAGTTCAGTGTTGTCCCAGTTCTCACACATCGTGCCCTTCTTTGGATCATCCTGTTGGCCATGACTTTGCAAGATCTGAGGACTTTGGTCAGGGTCACTATAATTTTGTGACAGCTGGTGACAAAATGGGGTATAGTGGCCAGCCAGAACTAGAGCATCATGCTGCCTTACACATTGCTGTTTTGGCACAGAGATTGGGCAGTTGCTTGCATCTCCTCACCTGTCACTGAGGAGTCCAAAGATCATGGCTCCCAGGAACATTCCCAGCATATAGACGGACTGTGAGATGTCATTCAGGTTCTTCCTGTCACACACGAGATCAAACTGCAGGAAGGAAACACAGCTGCTTTTGCAACTGGGCAGCACTTCTGGTCCCAGAGGGCATGGGCTGAGTGCACAGGCTCTCACTGTAGCCCTTGGGAGCAGAGATCCCAATCCTAAGGATATGAGTCTCTATTATCTCTATCTCACTGCTGCCCTGAGAGCTGTGAGTGCCCCATCCCTGGAGGTGCTCAAGGCCAGACTGGATAGGGCCCTGGGCAGCCCGACCTGGTGGGAGGGGGGTGGGAGAGGGGAGACCAGCACACAGCAGGGGTTAGAAGTGGATGGGCTTTATGGTCCCTTCCAATCCAAGCATCCTATAAGCCCATGATTCTGTGATTCTCTGCCAGTGGCCGTTAAGATCACACGACCTCACGAGGACCACAGCTGCAATCCGAGTGATGGAGCCAGGGTTCCCCAGAAAATGCCTGGTGCAAATCTCAGCTCAGCTGCACCTCAGCTGGCTTCACCTCCAACCAACCTACAGCACAGGATGCTCCCATCCCACCCCCCACATCCCCAAAGCATCACAAGGACATACAGACCTCGGTGAGCAGGGATGACTGCTGTGCTACCATCCCATCCCATCCCATCATCCCACATCCCCAAAGCATCACAAGGACATACAGACCTCGGTGAGCAGGGATGGCTGCTGTGCTGTGGGGTACACCCAGCCATTGCTGCACTTCTCCGTGGCATTCAGGCCATATGCCATGATGGAGTCGAGGTCCCAGTCCACAGGTGAGTACATGGAGCACTGCTCGTACTCCCCATCTGCATCCCGGGGCAGGGTGAGGTTCAGCTGCTCTTCCTCAGTCAGGTTGGGGCCGACAGCACGGATCCAGTCTGTGTTGCAGTAATGAGGCACATCCACAACCATAAAAAGCTGGCAGAACTGGTGGAAGGCCAGGCTGAGGCACGGAGGCAAGGAGAACAGTACTAGCCGTCTCTGAAACGGCCCAAATTCACCAGCTGCTTTCAAATTTTCCCCAATGCCCGACATTGTGAGCTGAGTCTGGAAGAGGACAGTGCTGGGACAGACTTTCCCGAGGACTGGAATTAATGTTTAATCTCAAGATAAACTCTGCAGACGTAGGCAGGCACTACAAATATGTAACGTCTCTTCCAGATAGACTTGACACCCAATGTTTTACCTGTCCTAAGTACACCATGTAATACATTAATCGTCTCTGTGCCACCCACAAACACAGGGTGTCTGTTACCAGGGAAAACACGGAGAATCCTTGTTTTGGGAGAGCTGGATCACATCTCTGCCACAACCAGGATACTGGGATTCTTGTCCACATCAATTGTAGGTGCTGCATCTGCTGACGTGCTGAGCAGTTCTCACCAGTTCCATTCAGGCAAAGTTCAGAGGCTGAAACACTGTCCTGCAGGGCTGGCAGAAGTCTAAGGGAGAAAACAGAGTACTGCTAATGGATGGCAGAGCTGGAGATGAGAAAAGGTGTCTGGTTGGATGCACTCCTAGCTGCTGGAGCCCCATTTCCTTCTACAACTTCCTTCCCAGTGCTGCCAAGAGTAAGACATATGTGGGACTCTGCCTTCTGGTGTGGGCTGCATGCAGAGCTATGGAGAAGTCACACACGACTGGTAGAAATCTGACACACAGAAGTGTTGCTTTAGGCAAGTTTGTCAAACCTCAGCTCAAAATGCATTAAATTGATCACTCTATGAAAGCAGCTCTGTTCAGCCTATCCCCTGAAGCAGGAGCAGCATTTGTCCTCAGGTGAGGCTCTGTGAGAGTGTCCATAGGTGCCCAAAAACATCCAGAAGCCCAACTCAATATTCTAATATTTCTTTATATTTATGATGGATAAAATAATGGGAGAGCCTGGGCTGGGCACTGCATTTACAGGAGGCTGGAGGAGAACCAGACCCTTGCCCCAGAGTAATGCCCAAAGTTGTGCAATGCCACCCAAACCCCTTCCCCAACGACACATAAACCACACAGCCCACACGTGACAATGGACAATTTGTTCTTTATTGATTAAAAATTAGAGACATGCAGTAAAATACAAAGTCCAAAAAAAGGGGAAAAAAAAAGCCTGAATATTTTACATCTTTCATTATAATCTACAATACACCAAAGTCGTGAAGAGGATCCGTTTTCATTAACAGAGCATTGTCCTTAAAAGTAGGAACTAACTTAAAATTACCACCTGCTTCCAGGTTCGGATCAGAAATTTCCACAAAAATAACAAATTCATGACACTGAAAAACAATTATGAACAGCGTTGGCACTTACTGGAACAACATCAGAAAAGACAGTTGTCTAGCACTGTAAGAGCCCAAGTGAAAATTTTGGATTGCTACCCAAAATGTCTGGAGAACTACAGAGCAAGTGACATCAGTTGCTTCCTTACCTATAAAGAACTAAGGAGCCTCAGTGTGAGCTCACACTCTACATCCTGACTTTGGGAAGGTGAGGAATAACTTAATAAATAGAGTCTGCATTGTTCCATTTGGGCAGTTCAAGTCCTACCTTTCTCAGCACCAGGATGCAAACCAACAAGCAGTCCCCCACAGCATGCAGGCAGAAGGGAAAAGCAATGCTGCACCAAGACTGCCTCATCTCCACATCCTAGTGGTTTGCAGTACATTCCCATTTCCCATGGGGTGACAGAAACAATTAGAATGCCAGCCTGCTCTTCCCAAGCCAGGAAGCTCACTGGGGGAAGCCTTTGGGAGTGCTCCATGTCAAGTAACACAAAGAACTGTAAGAGCTGGCACATGCATGTGCATGCAGACTTGGCCAAGCCCAGCCTTCACCAGCTCCCCAACATCAGACATCCAATTCCTCAGCTGTTGAGAGTCTCTGCTCAGCACCCCAGGGCACTCTCAACTCTCAGACCCTCCTCCTCCTCTGCATCTCCTCCTCTTCACCAGCAACAGGGCTGCAGACACTTGGCAGCACCTATGGGAACATATCCACTACCCACCTACAGACTAAAAGGGACACAGGCAGTATCAAAAGAACATGCACAACTTAGGAAGCTTCCGCAGCTGCTCATCAAGAAAAAAATATAAATATAGATTGTTCATCAGAAGACTCAGAAATAAAAATGTCCTAAT